TAAACGAATACCAGTGCGGCCACTGTGCGAAGCAACACCCGACCTGGGAGTGTGCTAAGCAAGGGGACGTCGAAGTGAAATGCGCCAATTGTGGCGGAGGCCATAGGCCAACGAGCGACGCATGCGAAGTAAGAACAGCAGCGAAAGAAGGGGCAAGACTAGCACTGGCTAACAGCCCTCTATTCCATCGTGTGCCACTCCACTTCCGGCAAAGGGAGACTACGAAGGGTAGTACCACTACCTCCCAGTCCCAACAGGGACTCGATACCCCAATCCACGCGCCGCAGCAAACTGCACAGCGCACGACGATATATCGGGCAGCACCTACATCGAATCGGACGGTGATCGCATCGCATCCGACAGAGAACGCACCTCATCCGACAGAGAACGCATCGCATCCGACAAAAGAAATTCGGAGGATGTATACAAAGGTTGGGGTGGAGAAGCCCCAACGAAGAAAGGAGCCCAGCCATGTGATGCGAACTAGATCGAGAACGTCGGAGGATGACGATCTACCTATCATACCAGAGGAGCTCGCTGAAACTGCCTCAGCAGTAAGCCAGTCGGCTCGCTCTTTGAGGTCACAGAACCAAGAGACTATGCAGTTCATGACAGATCCGGAGAAACAGCTCCAGACGTCATATAAGAAGAGGAGGATGACAGCACCAGCTGATGATATGGCGGAGGACTACGTTATGGATGAACAACCCCGAACGACTCGGCGATACCAACTGGTACGACACAAAGTTGCTGAAATCGACGAAGATGCGGAAGAGGAGTTCCATGATGCGTCGGAGCACAGTGATGATCCAGGAACAGACACCAACAACACCACCACATCTCAATGAATTACTTCCAAATAATTCAATACAATGCACACAACGCCCATCCAGTCATGGCCTCATTTCTGTCAGACAAAGCAGTCCAGAAAGCGGATGTGATTGCGGTTCAGGAACCCTGGATCAACTCTCAATCAACAACAACCCACTACCCAAACAAGGCCACCCACCAACTAGTCTTCCCGAAGGAGTTGGAAGGTGAACGAGCCAGGGTCTGTCTGTTCGTGTCGAAACGGATCGATCCAGGTTCCTGGTCATGCAAGACGGTGTCGAAAGGATACCAGCTGCTGAAACTGCGGAGGAACCATCTAGATGGGTGGACAGACCTCTTTATGCATAACATATATAACAACGACGATGGTGAAACGGTGGAAAAGCTCAATAGAGAGCTTGCCCAGAGACCATACGCAGAACATATCCTGATCGGGGACATGAACCTACACCACCCAACGTGGAGTGGAATAGGTTCCAAAGCGAAAGCGACCGCAGCAGCAGAGAGACTTTTAGATATCGCGGGGATTCATAATCTGTCACTGACGACAGAGACTGGATCACCGACATGGCGAAGAAACGAGCAGGCATCGGTCCTAGATCTCACCTTTGTCAGTAACACACTAGCAGAGAGGGTGGTTGAATGCCAGGTCGGTACCGATCATGGGTCGGATCACTACCCAGTAGTGACAACAATCGACATCGGTACCCCGCCATACGAACCACCAAAGAGGAGAAACTGGAAGGCCACAGACGACAAGAAGCTGATAGAATTCATCGAGCGACAACTCACCAACACCACCACCAACACGAATAATACCACCACCACCAATACCACCACCAACCCCCAAAACCTCACAACAGCCGACGATGTGGAGGCTGAGTGCCAAGCATTCATCCAAATCATCAACGACGCAGTCGATATCTCTACACCATGGGCGATCCCTTCGCAGTGGGCAAATCCCAGCTTCACACCAGAGTGTCAGGAAGCAGTCAAAGAAGTTCGACAGCTCCGCCGTCGACACGAACGGACAGGGGACCCTTACGACAAAGAGCTATACAAAGCAGCACGAAACCGGAAGACCCGGCTGATCAAGATCGCGCTCCGTCGATACCACCGCCGTAAGGTACAGGAGGTTATCGAGGAGGGTCCTGGCGGTATGTGGAGGATGAGCAAATGGGCAAGAAATCGGCAGGGGGCATATGACCAGGGGGTCACGCCGTCAATCAAGATACCAGGGGGACTAGCCGAGACAGTCGAAGAGAAAGCAGCTGCTTTCCAGCAAGCTTTCTTCCCAGTACCGCCACCGGCAGATCTCTCTGACATCGATTCGAAGGTGATCAACCATGATCCGACGGAGATCAATCGAGGGCCAATCCGCTTCCCAGAGATCACACACCAAGAGATCAAACAGGCAGTCAAAGCATCGCCACCAGACAAAGCGCCAGGAGAGGACGGCCTTCCGAACTCCCTATGGCATAAGCTTATTGAGATACCGACAGTACTCGACACCATCTCTCGAATTTACAACGCGTGCATACGGCTTGGTACCAACCCAACACACTTCCAGAAATCGATTACAGTGGTACTACGTAAGGCTGGTAAGCGTGACTACCAGCTTGCGAAGTCATACCGGCCAGTTGCGCTTCTTAATACACTCGGCAAGTTCCTCGAGGCAGTGGTTGCCCGACGAATTAGCTACGCAGTGGAAACATACAAATTGCTTCCGGATACCCATTTCGGCGGGAGGAAGGGAATCTCAGTCGACCATGCTATCCAGTCGATCATCGGCCGGATACGAAGAGCTTGGGGGAAAGGCAAGATAGCAAGCATGCTACTACTTGATGTATCCGGAGCGTACGATAACGTTTCTCACGAAAGGTTACTCTACAACCTCCGCAAAAGGGGACTCGGTCAGCTCGCACCTTGGGTGAAAGCATTCCTTACATCCCGAAGTACTAGAATCCGTATACCAGAAGGGGTGTCAGAGAGTATCCCAACACCAACTGGTATCCCACAGGGGTCACCTCTCTCTCCAATCCTTTACCTAATCTACAATGCAGATCTGGTAGAGGGCTGTGAGGGTGTGAAGACAAGTGGATGGGTAGACGACGTTGCCTTCATTGTCATCGGGAAGGATGAGCATGAAACCATCTCAAAGCTGCAAAAGGCATGCCAATATGCCG